AATTTAGTTCTGTGCAATTTTGTTTACTTAAACCTTTTCAAAATCCTGTAGCTAACCAATCTTCAAGAACAGACTGGGTATACGGTAAATTGGGAAATTTCCTGAATGGGAAAAAATGTTAAAATTGGCTTGAGTTTGACTCGTTTTCAGGAATGCAAAGCCAGGTCAATTGGAACAAAAAAAAGGTCATCAGCACCACAGACGCTTTCCTAGTAAATTGTCTTAAATTATGTGAATTCAGAGCTGAATTTGGAACATTCTAAGGTAGACTATTCTTGGGCCGCCCAATCCTGTACGCATTTTTCAGTGTTCGATTCGTTTTGGGGGTCTGTCTTTCTGTATTTAGTTGAGACAAAAAAGTAGACTGTATCAGTGAATAAACAATAGATTGAACTGCACAGTATCCTGTGTGAAGAGCGCAACTTTCATCCTTGGCAGGCTAGCAGCAAACAAGAATCAAGTATTGAGGATCAATACTATCAGGACCCTATTTGATTCCAGACTGTGATGATGAAGACAAAATTGTATCAGATTCTGATCATGATGATGAAAAAATTGAACCAGTTATTCAAAACGAACATTAAATATTGAGGAAAGAACATTCTAACTAATAAAAGGCAACTAAGTAAAGCAGTCTTCTCTGCAATTATGTTGACAATTTTTTTGATTGTCGAGGTTTCCCACTAAGTCTTTTTCCGTTTCATTTTATGCAAGAACTGTGTTCGTCGCGTGTTTTTGTTTCTGAGCTGCAGCCACCTACACCAACAAACATACAGTCTTGCTTTTCTGCCTCATAAGATCCACTGCACTTTGTCTGTAATTCAGGTAGCTTGTGAGCAATGTTTCTCGAAATTAAAAGAATCAAGACGGCTGCTCAAAATATCCTAACTCGAGAACATTTAAAGGGGAATTATGATGATGTGAATGGAAAAAGACTTAGTGGTGAACCTCGACAATCAAAAAATTGCAGAGGAGTGCTGAACTTAGATGCCTTTTATTAGCTGGCATGCTCTTTCCTCAATTTTTAATATTAATTTTGATAGTAAAGATTTTGTTCTTAATTTGCACTTTATTAATTTGCAATTGGCTGTCGTGTTTCGCCCACAAAAATAGTCAATTCACTTTACAGCATATTCCGTGAAGCGCTTTGAGACGTCTAGATGACATGAAAAGCGCCATATCAAATGCAAGGATTATTATTATGTGGAATAAAATATAGTTGTTCTATGCTTTTTGGTGCCCTCATGAATACGTGCCCTCACTTTATATAACAAGTCCACTACCGCTAATATTATCTGTTGATCAGTGCAAGGAGATTTTACCCAAACCAAAATGTGGAGTGGTTTCAATATAGGTTAGGATCATTAAAGTTTGTTTTTATTCACAAAATAAACTCATAGGTATCGTTTAGGTTTTTTGAAGTTCTGTCAAAAAAAACAAGGAGGTGGAATTTGACACATAGAAGAATAATTTCATTTTAAATTAGGATTTCTTTTAGAACATCAAAAACACTCAAATTAAGTATGTTAACAAAACAGTTGCTTTATTTACACAATTATTAAAAAAAAAGCCGATTATCTGGACAAACCCTTGGCAGATAAGGAAATTACAGTGTACAGATAATTCTATGTCAGGTAAAATACAGTTGGCTGCAGTACTAACTAAAGAATTGTTCCATCACGAGTATTGTACCAATCCTTTCTATCTATCTCTCTCTCCTTCTTTGAGTCCTTCAAAATTCTGTGTTCTCTGTGACATTTCCTATTTCTAACGCAACTTTTTTAAAAAAATATTAGTCTTACCTTTGCACTCCAGCAAAAGATCTAATTGGTTGCAAACCTTCTGAATTTGGCTAGCTTGAAACATTTTTCTATCCATTACTTAAACGTGTATTCAAATGCTAAACTTTTTCCTTCACCATCCCTCCCTTCTCCCATCTATTCCCCTACCCTTCTGTGGGTTTTTTAAACTGAAACTAAATGTTCTCACATTTTATTCTTGTTCATGTTTTGGGGAATACTGTCCCAAAAGTCTATAGAAGCAGAATTAATTGGGATGTTTAAAAAGGAGTTAAAGAAGGAACTCCATTAGATTGCTCCCTAGTATAACGCTGTCTCACTTAGAGCAAGGGACCACTGAATTAATGCACCTAGTTTCTGCCACTGACTGGCCAGTTTCATGCACTAAACATGCCAGATTTCCAATGTTCTGGTGTCACTTACTGTGTGTGTTGTGTGCCAGTGTGCAAGTGTCGCTGCTGTTGCTTCACAAAGGAAGTTTCATCAGCATTGCTTCTTGTCCACAGTATATATGCACAGCGCACAGGAAGTGATATCCGTGGTGGCTTGACCAATTGGAAATCAGGTATTTTTAAGCACTTTGCTTGAAACGCTAAGGCATTGGATCCAAAGTACTTGTTATAATGAGGTTCCCCAGGACATACTTGGGAAGTAAGGATAGAAAGGGACATGGCGAAAGGTGGGGAAATGGGATTGAAAGATCTGACAGAGCAGGCACTAAAGGCTGAATGGCTCCAATGTTCAAAACTGATCACTATGGGGTATGTACCAGTGATCAATGTGAATACTTTATTACAAATGCTTTTGAAAAAAATGAACATTGAAGATTTCAATCCTGAATTTGGAACTGAGTTAAGTGAAGATAAAAATAAATTTCCAGATATTAAAAATTGTACTTTGTACGTACTTTTACTTCTAGAATAATTAAAGAAGGTGGAGAAAAGTTACAAATAGTGTGCCCATCTTAGGAGCAAATTGCAAAAGTGTATATTCTGGTACGCCAAGAATTCTTCATTCAAAGAATAATTGGAGTGTTACTTTTGAGGTACAACATGAATTCTCGACAACAGAAGGAAGTGTGCTGTATAATATGATGGTCATGCTTGCCTGGCTGATTCATAAAAGCATGTTTCATATCCTTTAGCTTCTAAGGAACGTTGAGGTCAGGAAGTCATTTCGAAAGAAATTCCAGTGTATGTGTACTATCAGCCGGATGCTGTTACTTTTTTTAAAGAATTTGAAGTTTGTTGTTTGTGACCATTGTGCCTGTGTATTATTTAGTACAGGAAATGATTTGGCCTTGGAGCAACCTGAAGGAGTTAAGTAAACAGTCTGAAGAAACAAACATGTTTGGCACTTGTTATCATTGTTGGCTCATGGTTTCAAAGTGTTAAGAATCAAATTTCCCCGGAGGCTCTTCATCTATGCTCAAAGCAAGAGAACAAAACATTCTTTGATGACAAATTATACCGTTTACAAACATATATGCAACACTTTGCACATAAATGCAGGCATTTTCTTGATGAGATTTAGCTATGATTTAAAAATAACTTATTTTGCACAAGCTGAATTGAAATATTATGAAGAATTGTAAAATGATTTAATCATCTTTAGTAACCAAATCACCAGCTTTGAGAGCACATTTTTATTGCCAGGTTGTATTGTAACATCTAGAATTTCAATTCACTCAGAGTAAGTGACACAACCGAAGAGTTACAGATTCTGAGATGTCCTAGGAATATGATTCCTAGAGAAAGAACATATGTTGTGTGAATAGAAAGACGTATTTAGAAAGCTTTCCGAGATGAATTGAAGTGAAATATTACAAAGTTATTACTTTGTACAAAATTTTTTCATGGTGTTGTAAGACATTACAGGCCATTGTATTTGTGAGCAGAAATGCTGACAAACTGTTTACTAATCCAGAGTTGGAATGTATTAAGTTTAGAATGAAAAGGGAGGAAAACAAAGATAATACAGTCAAAAGTCTGAAATATTTGCTGGTCTATTTTGCCACAAATAAATGTCATGCTGTTCAGAAATTTTCAAAGTTGCGGTAATATTGCTGGGAAGGATAATTGATGTTAATGTGATCATGCTGTTGAATTACTGAAGATGGAATGTTTTTCTTTAAAAAGGTTATAGTTAAGTTCAGTTTCAACTTCAACAATCGGTGGCAATTGGATCTGGCATTTCCTTCTCTAAATCCATAGACATTTAAATTCCTACTTAACTCTTCTTTTATGGTATTTATTGGTTATAGAGAGCCTCTTCAGTCAGTCACTATTCATTTAAGATGGAATATGCTGTTCTGCCTTGTAAACTTCCAGTATATATCTTTGTCAAAACAGGAAAAATGCATAATATGCACCAAATCACATGATGTTCTTTAGGAAATTAGGCCTCAGGATATAATGATCAATGTTTTGCGGAACATTGTTTAGCAATTGCATAATCGTATTGATTCAAATAAAATATAATTTCTGTTGAGCTGTTTTTTCTTTTTACTTGTATTGTGCTTTAAATGATAATGATCTAATTAAAAGCATACTGAGTTCCATTAAAAACATAGGGAAAGACACCTCAAGGGAATTGTGGGCAGTGTACTGCATACTTTTAATGGAATGTGTGTAACGATATATTTTAGACCTCATGCTTTTGTAGCGCAGACCAAGCTTGAGTCTTGTAGCTGTCACTGGGATGGGGATGTATTTAGTAAATACATGGATGAGCACTAAACGACTGGATTAGCTTTTATGTTCATGACAGTTCAAAAAATTAATTTCTAGAAAATGTTGGCATCAGATGTTATTTTTCCTCATTCAATATACATTTTTAAAATGAATTGTGATGTTAGTGAGACGTTAAATTAATTTTTACTTCCGTTTTATTGTAAGTGAAGTGGTTTAATTCATTAAATATGTAGCCAACATATGCAGGTGTAATTTGCATGCAATTTTATATTGGCAGTTTTCCACTTTGAATACAGCAGTCAGTTAGTGTACTCAGAAAAATTATCCCATGTGTGTAGTTAACGTTGTAAGAACATTCAAATTATGTACTCTATCCTGACATGTTTTTGCACTAAAATAACTTGTAGAGTGCTGAATTAATGTGATGATAACATCACTAAATTAAATGGTTTATGTGAAATGAAAGAGTTATTCTGATTCAGTTTCCACCATTTTCTTCTTTTTCAAGGAATCCAACATGTGTTTAGCCTTTTCTGTGCGGTGCTCACGGAAAATAAGGTTCTTTTTCATTCAACCAGTTATCAGCGACTTGGAGAAGCATGTAGAGCGCTAGAGTCCTTAATGTTTCCGCTCAAATATAGGTAAGATTTCTATTTTGGTTAAATTGTGAATTATTTAATAAATTATGCAGATGGTAAACTTTTCCAGATTTATCATAAAGGCTTTTGCAATCCCATATTTTACTCTGAATAAGATTGCCAATGTATTGTAAGTTATGCATCACAAAACCTACAAAAGAATGCAAACATTTTATAGAGGACTATCCAGAGTTCACTAATAGTCTCCCATGAGCTGGATTCAAACCTTTTAATCAGCCAAAGCTCAATAAAGTCTATGAGAAGCTGTTGCAATTTAGTGTTATTTTTAAATAAATCTGTTGTATATTAAATGTTGCCTTTTTATGTGTAACAAGCCAAGGGGGGTAATGACAGAACTTGCTGAGAGAGATTTATAACTGCATTGTTATTTTATAATCCTGTTTGAGGTGATAAATACTGCCAACTTTTTCTTTATTTTTCATCAGTTATCCTTACATTCCGATTCTCCCTGCACGACTGTTAGAGGTGCTGAGCTCCCCAACTCCATTTATCATTGGTGTACACTCCATGTTTCACAATGAAATTCAAGAGCTGGTAGGTGTTGTCACTCTTCCTTGTTTAGAAACACAGGTAATGAATTTTGTTGTATTTAATGCACATCATTTTACAAGTACAATTAATTTTACTCCCCATCCATTCACATTCCCTTGACCTCATCTGACACCTGTGTGACTTGGGTACACACCTCTTCCCCCACCACCCACCATCACCACCAACTCGCTCTCCCCTCCTCCGCATACATTAGTGTTCCCTCGACTCTATCTGCCACCTGTGTGGCCTTCTAGATACACACCCCTTTCTCCCCTCCCCATCCATCCACATTGTGGAATCCTGTAGCGTATTGGTTAGAGTGGATTTGATTCCTGGGCGGGGCAGTGCACTGGCCAAGTTTCCTTACTCCACACACCTGTGTTTTCCTAGCAGTAAGTAGGAACCCGATTGTTAGTCCAAATTTTTGTATGTTTCATTTTGGCTCGAGTACAGAGAAATCAAGTAGTTGACCCAATTTTAAAACAAAAATGGTCAGTTTGCTACAGCTTTGCCTTCTTACCAGGCATCAAGAGGATTGTACTAAGTTGTGACATTGAAAGTTTAAGCAGTTGGCAGACTTGCTCTAAATCCAAATTGGAGACCAAATAACAGTTTCATTCAGTCTGTTTTCCATTAGCTCACAATTGGCAACATAGCAACTGGCTTCAGATCTGGCTTTTATGCCTTCTTGTGGATAGACACAATGTTTGCTGCTTTCACCTCTGATGGGAGAACACTGGTTGTGAGGTATAGTCGAACGGGATGAGCTAGGGAACAGCTTGTTTTAGAGGCAAGGATATGAGAGTTTGAATGCCTTCCTCCTCTGATAACCTCAAGACATGCTTTCTTGTCCTCAAGGCTGATCTTTATCAATCAGAACTTTTCTACTTTTTGGCCACAGCTACAAGAAACATTTCATTAAGCCAAGAATGTGGGCACTCTGCAATACAAGATGTATCTGATTTCCAAGAAAATATGTGTCTTTTGAATGGCACATGGGATTCCTGTCCCTGATACTAACTAACTGCTTGATAGTATATAATTTATACAGTTTATGCAATCAGTTATACAATTTGTGCATTGGCTTTTCATGAGACCACCAAAGATTGTTTATACTCTATGCAGACTATAAATGATTTTATATGATATAGTTCAATCATAAGAGAGTGCTTGGGAGGGGGCATCGAGAAGGTGGTGCTCAATGGAGAACAGGATTTTGGGGTTGTTTTTGGTCAACCAAGCTTATGAGTTGACTTTCAGCAGAACTATAGTCAAGATGGTGACAGATCTACACTCTTTTCCACAAAAGTGGAAAGCCTCCACTAGGCAAAACTTAGAACCAAATATCTTCAAAATCCATTGGCCAAAACAGCTTGTTGCAAAGCAATTTCACTCACACCTCTTCCTCCACTGCCTACTCGAACCCCTCCAATCCAGTTTTCGCCCTGCATACAGCACAGAGACGGCGCTCGTCAAAGTAACAAATGACATCCTCTCTCTCTCTCTAACCAGAGCTCCCTCTGCCTCCTCGTTCTCCTGGAACTTCATCACCTCTCATCCCTCATCCACCTTAGTGGGACGACACTCGCATGGTTCGAGTCCTACTTAACAAACCAGCAACAGTACATCTCGGCAAATGTTTTTTCCTCCCGACCCATCACCTGCCGGGTACCCCAAGGCGGTATCCTTAGCCCCTTTTCCTTATCTACATGCTCCAACTCGGCGATGTCATCAGCAGACATGGGTTCAACTTCCACATATATGTAGATGACACCCAAATCTATAACTCCAGCTGCGACTCCCAGTCCACTGATGTCCTGTCAGCTTGTTTGATGGACAGTGTAAACTTCCTGCAATGTCGGCAAGACAGAAACCATACTCTATGGCTCCTGTCAATGTCTTCTCTCCTGCGGATCTGAACTCCTCAACCTCCCTGGGCTCTCCCTCAGTCACACTAAACCTGCGTGCAACTTAGGCATCAGGTTCGATTTCCAACGTTCCTTTCTACCCCACATCCGTTCCCTGATCAGGAACGCTTTTCTTCACCTCCATCACATTGCCGGCCTCCGTCCATACCTCACAACCAACGCAGCCGAAACCCTCAACCACGCCTTCGTCATTTCCCGGCTGAACTATTGCAATGTCCTCATCGCTGGTTTCCCCCAGCTCCACCATATTTAAAATTCAAGCAATTCAGATCTCTGCCACCCAGATACTCACACGCACAAAACTCCATACCCACATCACACCAGTCTTTGCCTGGCTCCACTGGCTCCTAATTATCAAACACAGGATCGATTTCAAGACCCCCCTCACTTGTTTTCAAATCCCTTCAAGCCCTAGCACTCCCCCCCCCCCCCCCCCCCCCCTCCCTTTCCCCCTGGCTCGGCGACAGATTCTGCCACTGTCAAGCGCTTCGGGACACTCCCAAGTGAGAAGGGCACTGTATAAATGCAAGTTGTTGTTGACTCTCCAATGCGGTGCTGGAGGAGTTTTGCATGATCAGAGATGCATTCTTTTGGATTAGATGTTAAACTGAGGACACATCTGTTCGTTCAGGTGAATGTTGAAGATCCCATGGCACTTTCCAAAAGAGAAGGGTGATAGATACTCTTGGTGTCCTGGTCAACTAGCTTTTAGATAAAATTGTTATTCACTTTATGGCTCTTTGTGGGATATTGGTGTGTGCAAATTGGCTGCCTTACACGTTTACAAATATGCAAACACAGTGAGATTCCTGTGAAATGCTTTAAGATGTTTCATTGACATAACGTGCTATACCAAATGCAAGGATCATTATTAACAGACTCCAGTAAGAATGATTCTCAAATGGATAGTGTGTCATAAATGTCACCAGCTTAGATGACAATGAGTAGACATAGGAGCCACAAACTTTATAGAATGAAATATTAATTTATGATACATCTTCACTTATGATCATCTAAAATGCACTTGAACAGAGAAAGGAAAGCTGATCAAAAAGTTATCTAAATATAATATATAAATTAAAAAAGAGCAGTTAGAGTATTCTCTAAATTGGAGAGCATATGAGCACAAAAGATTAAATTGGGGTTTATTCCTGCTGTATGGCCAGAAAACATGATCAAACCCAAGTAGGATCAGCTGTTCTTTCCCAGTTTTTCTTCATAATAATTGAAGTATGTTTTGAATGGCACCCTCCCCATTTTATTAGAAATTGAGGGATTAAAGGATTTAAAAGTGACTTCCTTTTATTTGAGCCAGATTATTATGAAAGCCCAAACTGCTGGCAACTTTATGCAAAATACACAGATTACCACCTTTTGAATTTACAAATGGTTTGACATTACCTGAACTTTAGAACTGATTTCCTGACTTCTACCACTCTTAACAGCGAGAATAAAATAAGTAATCCCTTGAATGATGTATCCTGCTTACTTAATGCTGGAAGGTTCTAGGCACAGGTTTTCGAGAGCAAAGGCTTTGGGTTGTGTTGGGATACTGCTGGAGTTTAACCAGCTAAAACCACATAGTTTACCATTGAGAATGCTGTCTCTCATGCTTCTTGTTGCTTGCCCAGCTAGGAATGCCCTGGCTGTTAGGGTTTTGCGTTGCAACATCTTGCAGTGGAAAGAATCCCTGTCTCTTGTCTGCCTCTCAAAGTCCTGCCGCTGAACCAAGCTTTGTGATCCATCATCAGCAGGACCTTGGAGTCCTGCAGGAAGCTACTGCAGGTTGGATTATCGGGCATATTACCTTGGAGCCAGCTCAACTCAAGGAGACGCCACTTATCTCTCACTCCCATTATATTAATTTCATCGTTGTTTGTGGGACATTGCTGTGGGCTTTATATTTACAGTATATTCTGTGAAATGCTTTGTGATGTCGTGGAAGGCGCAATACGAAATCCAAGGATTATTGTTGCTATTGCTGCTAACACGTGCAGTTGTACAGAGCAGGATGGTTCTTGTTGTCTTCTATTTTCTTAGAGAAATTGTTCTGCAGCTACGAAGCACTCCCCACTTCTCCTCCCCCCACCCAACTCCTCCCAACCTGGACAAGAGCTTGTGAAACTCTCCCAATATTGCATTAGTTTGATCTGAGATTTGAACTGGAAATCTCAACATCGGCAGTCCATTCAGAAATTTTGTCATTATTTGGTACTGAAGGTACCTATTTAAATGTACTGAAGGTACTTATTTAAAAATGCATATGCTGAACTCATCCTCGAATTTTGATGTGCTAGAATTAAAACTTTTGAATTTTTTTTATAGTTAGATGTAATCATCGCTGATTTGGATGGAGGCACAATCAAAATCCCAGAATGCATTCATCTCTCCCAGTTGCCAGAGCCCCTCTTACAGCAAACTCGAGCAACACTTTCTCTTGTAAGTAGGATCATTGTGAAAACAAATTGATGCATACAGACCAATTTATAGTATCATTGTTGATTCATGTTCAGTGTGCTCTGTATTGCTGAACAAGCTAATCTAATTATAAGAATAAATGCATTTATTATTATTTCTAATCTGCAGTAGGGTCTGTACTTTGTCAAAGCAGTAATATTAAAATGGATCTTTTATTTTTCTTTGCTTAACTGTATCCTATTAAACTACATGTATGATCTGGGAAGTGATGCTTTATTTCTCATTATTCTGATGCAAATCTTTTTATAGTGCAAGCATGTTTTCATCATTTCCCGGTCCACAGTTTAACTGAGTGCTATTGGTATCCCCTTTTATTTCTGATTCTCTTGTTTCTTCTGACCTCATCATTATCATATCCTTTGTTTTTCGTCAGCAGAGTGGTTTGGATGAGAATGCACTCCTGGTGTCCAGAATTTGTCTTTCACAATACTTAGCCTATGTCTTTTCATCCTGATAACTTGGCACATGTGAAATATTGTTCCAAGCTTAGTTTTGCTATCTAATTAAGTATAATACAAACCTTTTTAAGGTATTCTGATTTTACTGGAGGTACTGGAGCAATAGCCTGTATCTTTGGTAATATACCCTTGGATTAGGCAGCACCTTCAGAATGGAAAATAAGAAAATAAAAGGAATGGGAAAACATTGATTTTGTGCCATTGTTGACAAATTACAATTGCTTGATGCTACGTTAAATATCTGAAATGAATGCTAATATTTTCATAGGTATTGCATCCAGACCTGGAGGTAGCTGATCATGCTTTTCCTCCTGCTCATACAACTCCTTCTAATCTCAGGCTATTGGTAAGTCATGGCGAATGATTTGGGATATTTCGCTTTTTATGATTGCAAATTACATATTGTTAGAATGTCTAATCACCGCATTTCACACCTGGTTATATTTTTTCTAGGATAAGGAAGTCAGGGCAGTATTTCTTCGGCTGTTTGCACAGCTTTTTCAAGGATATAGATCATGCTTGCAGCTGATTCGAACCCATCCGGAACCTGTAATACACTTCCACAAGGTCTGTTACAAATCATTAAGGAGTGCAAAGTTGTTTCATGTGTGTGCAGTCTTCTATCTTACTCCATTTAGTCAGATTTATTTCCATGGTTTGATTTCTTATTATGCTCAGTAACTTCAAAAAAACATATTTGCTTTACACCAACAGAACAACATCACCATATTTTTAAGCCTCTTGCATTGAAAAAGCAATTTCTGATATTTGTCTGTGTCATTTGCACATTTGCTCATTTGCAGAAAATTGCCTGCCACCTCACTATCTTTAAAAAGTCATTCAGTGAACTTTTAGAAAACTTGCTGTATTTGCCTCCTGAGTGAAATAATTCTATTCTGAAATTGCGTTTCTTGCTGTATCCCAATGTCACTGGGAGGAACTGATTATGACTTGCAACAGTTCCATTTAGCTTAGGAGGATTGGGTACTTTGAATAAGTCTGGAGCTGCTCGATGAGGAAAGCACGGTATTAGCTGGATATTTTAGTCCTCATCATTCCTAGGTCTAGAGCTGTGTAATTCTCCCAATAATATTATTATTTTATTATAATTTTCATTATTTTCTCCCCTGACACACAACCCGGCTCTTGGTTCCCTGTCAGTTGTGCGACATTGCTTTGAGACATCCTCCTGAAGCGAAAGACTCTGCATTAGGCTACATTTGTAATATTGTTGTAAAATTGGCATTGCTAAATAGAGGTCTGGTCACATTAAAACTGATATTTGCCACTGAAAGTATTCTAGGAATCTTATCATGTTTTACCTCTTCAGTAACCTAATTAAGCACTTGAGTTCAAAGTCACAATTTGTACTGTATCCATAAAACCAATTTGTGGTGGCTCCAGCTAATGCATTTCATGCAATTTGTGAGGATTTATTTTCAGTTAAGCATTAGGGTATTTATTCATCTATAAACAAGAACGATGTAAGAAACACAATCCAAAAATATTACCATGATTAAATGTCGTGTGATATCACACAGGATTATGGGGTTGTTCTTCATGATCTTAGTTAGCTTTGGTAATATTACGGTGCTCTCTGTTTGCAGAATTTTGAGAATTATGAGGTTTTGTGCTTCTACATATTTCTGATTCTTGCTTTTGATGTTTATTATGGTTTTCGAAATGTGAGAGTCTGTTAAAACCATGAAGGAAATTGAACATTCAAAGACTAACGTTTTTTGAAAACAGAAATTCTGTTTACTTAAAAGAACTTTTAAAAAATTATTTTCTCTTTCCCCTCTCTGTTCTCCCTGCACTTCACACTGTCCCAGGCTGAGAGGACAAACAGGTAATCTGGTCTCAAGCATCTACCAATGCTGCTAAATATCTGGCTGCCAGGAGGTGCATGAGAGTAGCCCAGGGAAGTCCTTCACCTGTTGAGGTTGTTAATTCACTGTTTGGGTAAAGAGGGGTACGTGCGATCTCACAATCTACAAATCCGTGGCAAAACATGTGAGAGCCCAAACACTGTGATCATCCTGCACATAGAATCATAATTTTGTTTCGAATGCTCTTGGGGTTGTATGAAACAAATATGAAACTTATATTTTATGTTTGGTGAGCTGTAGTTACGCGTGAAACCAAATTAATTTGTGTGTGTGAGTCTGTGTGCAATGTTGTTAGCCCCATTGTCTTAGTTAAGTCTCTTGAAATATTCCTACAGTCGTGTTGATGATCTGAAGTGTTGGCATAGTTCCAAATGCTGCCTGTTTCACAGGGAGTCACAGAGCTAGAATTTCTCCCAGTTCTGTTACTCCCATGTTAATAAATTCGCTTTTCAAATTCATTATTCTCCACTCTAATGAAAGAAAAGCCATTCATTCTACCCACTCCTTCGCAGGAACTACAGCAGGCCATGGATATAGTCGATGTGTTGTAAATCGGCCCAGTTGCAGTGTTTGCAACAATTGCCTCCTAATTCCAGGCTATTACACATAATCAGAAATTCATTTCTATTCAGAATACAATAATGAATTTGAAAGTGTAATTATTTTTTCTGCCATTTCATTTTATTTTCCCTTCCAAAAATCATACCGCCTCATTGGCTGATGGAAAAATATCTTGGGGAAAGATTAGCATATGAATTAAAATTTTCATCCCTATTTGAGGGATTTTGAAGGTGAGGAGAGATGTCAAAATTACCTTAAATTGTAATGGTGAGTATTAAAGCGCCTGCACTGCAATAATCTTCAATGAAACAAAAAAGAAAATTAATTTAAAAAATGTTTTACAAGATAGCAGTGAATATAGGGTTCATTCCAGGAATGAGGAAGACCTGACAAATGATTTGTGACGTCTTCACGTTTGCAATAATTTGTTTGGGAAAAGATTGGCTATATTTATTATCCCCTTGTATATTTTGTGCATCAAAATATTTAAACTGGATTTCTATTTGAAATTCTTTTAGAGTAAAATTAAGCAATTACCATTTACATGTTTAAACAGAATTGTATGACAGCAGTCTGTAAGCAGCATTTTTAAAAGAAGATGTGTATGGTTAAGCAATATTGATGAAAAGCTGAAAGGAACCCACAAAAAGTACTTCCCTGCTTTACTCTGTTAATGTTTTTTGATGTTTTAAACTATACCGGTTCATAGGGCTTCACCATTTAATCTTGTAATTCAATCCTTTGCTAGAGTAACACATGTACTGATGACCAGGACAAGACGTTCCTCTTGTATTGGGTGGCAGTGTTTGTGGGTTCTTGAAGGCTGACAGCAGGATAGTTCTTTTTTGCAATAATTTGTTTGGGAAAAGTTCTGCCAAGTGAAAGTGAAAAAGAACATAGCCAGCCTTCAGTTGTAAACAGTCACCAGTGCCACTGAGCACTGTACATGCTGCCCTACATCACTGCAACATCTCCACTAAAGCTACGATTGAAGGAAATAACTGTGTCCAGCCTCTCATGGAGGACCCCTGTAAACAGGGATATTTTTTAACTTAAAGCTATAAAATAATAAAACCAGGGAAGGGCTTTGTGGGTAAGTCATTATCATTAATAATACTTATCCATATATTTGCCTTCTCTCTTATGTTTCGGTTTTAAAGGCTTTTTTAATGCTTAGGAAATGCAACCTATGCTTTTGGGTCTCAACTGCATGTAAAACAGCCCTTTTTAAATCTTTTATTTAGGATCAGTATTACTTATTTGAATGGTTTTACAGGTAACTGGCAGGTCGGCACTGACTCTTAAGCATCTGTTGAGCATAAAGTTCACTGGCAAGCAAATTAGTTGGTAATTACAGTGTTTTGAAATGTTTGTTCACTCTTCAGGCAGCCTTCCTAGGTCAACGTGGGTTGATTGAAAATGACTTCCTCACCAAAGTTCTTGATGGAATGGCTTTTGCAGGATTTGTTTCTGAACGAGGGCCTCCCTACAGATCGTGTGATTTATTTGATGACGTAAGCTTGTGTAATGTTCTTTTTAATGTACATTTTTGTTTGGTTGCTTTTCTCAGATTTTAAATGACATTTTTCAGATTGATGTTTATGTGCTGCCCTTTGCAGAATATAAATTACATTCTCAACTAATGTAAAATAGTTAGTATAATGATATTATAAATATCACTGAACTTTTGATTTGTGATTCAGTTATCTCCAAATTTAAAAACACTTTGGCGCACAAATATATACAGTCAATTCACTTTACAGTATATGCTGTGAAGCACTTTGAGACGTCTCGATAACGTGAAAAGGTGCTATATCAAATGGAAAAATTATTTAAAAGATAAAAACTAATGAGTGGTAAATGTTCACAATAATTTTTTGAAGTACCTAAAGTACTGTACACAGGACTTAACGCTCCAACATCTCCTATACGCATCTTGCATTCCAAAAAATAGCCTTTTTTCCCCCTCTTCTAAAATAGTATTTGATTTCCCACTTCAACCAGTTTTTAAAATAAATATTGAAAAGTAACAATGGGGGAATGACCACTGTAACCAGATCGTATAGCGTGCCTGTCTATGACTGAATAACTCTGGGGTCTTTCTGTGATAAGTTATTACTTAAAGCCAAACGTGTCAATATTATTAATAATAATAATATTAATTAGAAAGAGGATAGGGATATCTTCATTTTGAATTGTTTGCGATTTTCATTTTAATTAATTGCAATATTTCCTGATTGTGTAAACAAAAATCAGTTTTGATATGATTTCAATAAATTGATGGTTCTTTTGCAGTTAGTTGCTTTTGATGTGGAAAGAATCAAAGCTGAGGAGGGAAATGCACAGAAAATGTTGAAACACATAAGAGAACTTGCAGAACAGTTGTATAAGAATGTAAGTTTATTTGCAAACTGAACATGTTCTTAATATTTAAGAGTCTTGTGCTTAACCATTCATTATTTAAATGTGTGGAACAGTGCTGTTAATATGGTGAAAGTATCCTTAATATATCAATTTCTCAAACATCGATTGTGGTTTCATTACTTCACATTGGGAATAAACCTAGTCAGAATGTTCATGAGACTTAAGTGCCCTTTTTTAAAAAAAGCCTCTCTTATTTCAAATCAGTTAACATTAAATCTTTTCAGCTGCTTTACTTGATATTTTGTTTCTCATAAACCCACGTTCACCCTTTTGTTTACCAAAACAATGTAAGCATTTGCTTAAATGTAATGTTACTGTGTGACATCTTGATACCTTTGGTATGAAATTTTCAACATTTATACCCAATGCAAGTTAAGCAGTTGTTTTTCTATCCAGATTAGATCTTATATTACCAATAAAAAGCAATCTAATCAGTTATTTGAATCAAACCCGAGAGCCATTGTGTATTGGAAGGATATTTATACAAAGAGAAATTGGGTGATATTGATTCAATACCTTGGGTCAGGGATTAAAATGTTGTCCTTTTAACATTGGAGATACAAAATCAAGTCCATGACAGAGAAATAATGACCAAGACAACAGATCATTTCCTGTGTAATGAACAAAAATTGACGTTGAGCGAATAGTGCGACCTGGAAAGTGAGTTACCCCAGCTGGAGCACTACCATTAATTCAACCCCTTTCCCCGATCCAGAAAAAAATAATTCAGCCCAGAATCCAGTGGGTTCTAAATATCCACATACTACTGGTACTTCTGTACAGCAAGATTACTCGAGACTCAAGGCCTTGCCTTAGTACCTGATTCTTTAAACTCATGGTAGTTGTCGTCTTAAATGATGCTTGTTTACTGTGCTTATCAAATTCAATGTTGTTTTTGTTCAGAAATTATGGCCATTTGTAAACATGATTTCTTCAGTGATTGAAATTTTGTAGTACCAATTCACATTAATATGATGTTATAGTCCACTTAATCTTTATTATGAGTTTTGTAAAGAATAGAATACGTTTGTTTTGAAACCTACTGATGTTATTTGTCCTTTTAAAAAATTCCTTTTATATTTTAGGAAAATCCAAACCCACACATGACATTTCAGAGGGTACCTAAACCAACTGAGGGCTCACATATGAGAGTGCACGTACTTCCATTCCCAAAGATAAATGAGGATAAAGTCCAGGATCTTCTCCAAGAAGGCCTTTCTAAACACCTAAATTCACCTCCTGCTGTTCGGGTTGAAAAAAAGTGTATAGTACCTGCTGGCCCACCAGTTGGTATGTATCAACATTTTGCACTAACTGGAACCTTGAACTTCTGGTAGCAATTTTAATCCTGATAAACACAATTGACTACATGGACTGTTTTGAAAATCAGGTTGTCAAAACGTAACAGAATCATTTGGGTTATGATCTGTGTTTTCCTTTATCCTGTTTATTTTGCTTATACTCTTTGCATGTTTGTAGATGATTTAAGGCACTTATTGTTGTACAATATTGTACAAATAATGACAGGTCTTGTTCCTGTGCACGGTTTAAGGGTTTTCTCCAGGTCTTCAATTATAACGTAATTTTTAAGTCCTAATAAAAATATCCAAATTTCTAAATGGAAAATTTCAGAATTAACTTAAATTTTTACAATTCAAAAATCTATTTTTCATTCCCTCCTTCCTCATTAAAGATTGCAGTGTTGGAGAATCAAACATTTTCCTTTGTATCCATTCCCAATGCAAAATACTCCCAGATCAGATATAGCACAGGTTAAATACAGTTCAGAGATTTCCCTGGTATTCTACACAATATTCTCTAACCCCAAGCCTGAAAGCAACCTGAATGCTTCAGCATTACATTTCTATTTTTGAACTGTTATTGTCCAATTAATGGCAAATTGTGCAATTTTTCTTCAGTGAACTATGCCAGTAAAAATAACTGCCAAAACCAATACTCACAAACCTTATGAATAGTCAGTGGAGACTTCCATTTCATGTCTCTGCACTATATTCAAGAGTTAAAAGGTTGTCTTCTTCCCTTTGGACTGGGACCTTACTTATGCTTAGCAATGTTTGATTCCCTAATTGAAATTTGTATTTTCCATCATGGGAAAATCTAAACTGGGAATCAATTCCATAACTTCCAATCCATGGCACAGACTTTTAATATGCTGCTCTACCGCATCACTGCTTTTAGACTGCGTTGCAAGTCATTTTCAAATTCTTCTACCACCAAATCAGTTTCTGTATCTTTCCTCGTCTTGGCTTCCTGCATCCTCTAGAGTTTGGTTGCCTTTTTGTATGCACAAATGTTTTTGAACATTTTTGAACATCTGTAATAATATGACACAGCGCTATTATTTTTTGTCATTGGTTTTATGATGCATCAATGGTATTGGGAGAATCAATTAACCTCTACTGTTTAAAATGCATTTAGAATAAACTAACAGCATAATATTTTTGTGTTTTTCTAGTGTCAATAATGAATAGGGTTGGATCCATTTTTAACAGTGCACGGAGACTAGAAGTTGTCAGGAATTGCATCTCCTATATATTTGAAAACAAAGTACTGGAGACTGAAAAGGTAAATTTCAATAGTCATCATTGTTAACTTGATCGGCATTCGAATTGTTGATAAGATATTGAATATTTCTAAAATGAATGGAACAATAATACCATAAGTATTTCACTTCAATTACCAGATGTACAGTTCTTGCTCCTGAATTGTGTTGGGAGAATATTATGGTTCTTTTCAAATAAATTCATTTTCATAATAATAATAATAATCCTTGCATTTGATATAGCACCTTATCACATTGTTGAGATGTCTCAAAGCGTTTCACAGAATACAATATATATATATACATACACACATTATTTACATTCTATTATATCATTATATTATAATGTCTGTAATGCCCACTTCCTGAGATGAATAAATAAACTTGTGCACCTATCATAAATTACTGAGGCAAAGAACTTACAATTAACAAGCTCAAATAAGACTGGAGATGAGAAATCTTAGAAATCTGCAGTAGATCAGCATTTGATACAGAAACAAAATTATTTCCTTTGTTAGAGTTAACAGTTGGGAACATTCTTTCTATTAATATATGGGTAACATTAATCCTGAAATAACCTTTGCTTGAATTTGAAACTGTTCCTGTGCAAAGTGACAGACCCTTCCTTTCAGCCTTTGTTTTCGTGTCTTGAAGTTCCTGTTTTGAAGTGCTTTGAGACATCTCAAAGACATCAGGCGCTATATCAAATGCAGGGATTATTTTATTATTATTCCTGGTCTAGAAAACTATGCTTCTGAATTTTCAATTTCAGTCTAGAGATGCCTTAGTTCTTTAACATCCCTGCCCAGCCATAAATGCTACGGAGAGGAAACAGTCTTTCTGAATGAACGATGCAGCTTCAAACAGTATCAAGTGGGCAATAGTAATCTATTTTGTTTAACAAGTGGTTTGTTTCAAGAGCTAGCACAGATTAATCATTTTGACCCCATTAAGAGAAACAAACCCGCTCTTCCAGCATCAAAAAAGGCCTGTGGAGCAAACCAGCAACAAATTACATTTCTACAGAGGCTTTCACATCAGGAGGACGTCTGAACGCAGTGTGCTAACTATTAATTGGAAGGATGATGGGAAGGATTCCCCAATTATAATGGGAGGGCTATTATTTGATTGTTTCAAAATTATCAAGGAGATTATTAATTATTTATCAAAATGCAAGTGACCTTGGCAGAATTGAGCCGACAGCTATTGGCTGGAAAATCAATGATTACCTAGCTAGCTGGGCATTATAGATTGTCAGTTTGGGTTATCCCAAACAAATCTGAGAAGATTTTTCATTACACGGGTCTGGTATTCTTTGCAGCAGGGTGTTATTGCAGTTGATGGTTCCAGTTTAAATTTGATTTTTAAAACGCCTGTTATTATCCAGGCAACGAAAATGAAAAGTGATCGAAACAATGGACGTGATCTACTACCATAATGTTCTGTTTAAGATGTATTTTGCCAAGTCTTACTTCATTCTTTTGAGTACTGAATGTCCTCTGTGGGTTTCAAACTGTGCAAGTATTTCTGCCACACATGGAAAAAGACTTTTTGTCACATTTTAAAATTTGGATATTCTAATATAATTCACCAGGATTCCTTTTCTTTGCTGGTTCATTTTATTCATTTTATTCATTTTAAACAAATTTGGGATGTAATATAGTATCTCGAGTCACAGCGACTATTTCCTATTCCAGCAAATTTACTATTTCAGAAATGTAGGAATTTACAGCACAGAAGAAGGCCATTCAGCCCATCTTGCCCATAGAGGAAAAAGAGACTTTGTATTTCACAATGCGAGAGACAAATTAGTCAACTAATTTCTCTTGGTAACTCATGCACCTAATGGCTGATTACAGAGCATCCATGACATTAGGATTGACCTGAGACCTTTTATCTAATAATAATAATAATCCTTGCATTTAATATAGCGCTTTTCACGTCTTCTAGACGTCTCAAAGCGCTTCACAAAATATATTGTAAAGTGAATTGACTGTATGTGGGCGAAACATGGAAGCCAATTGCGCACAGCAGTATCCCACAAACGGTTGCGGATTGAGTGACCAAATTGTTATTGTTTTTTTATTATCTAAGTTAGATAATGGTGTGTATCATTTAAGGTGAAGGGATTTGGAATGAAAAAAAATTCAAAATGAAATGAGTTGAGGCAGCTTTTTGGAAAAAAAATTATAATTGAATTTTCTTTTAAATTTTTCACAAAAAATCCTTGATCATTAAATGATGAAACTCATGTGCTGATATTTTTAGTCAGCAAATTAGATTAAAAAGCCAAGATTTAATGATTTTAGCCTATATTTTTTAATAAATTGAAGATTTTTTTTAAAAATGATGTAATCAGTGGATAATTTTCAGTAATCTTAGCAACATCCAGAAGAATATGACCTGCTGCTTGTCATCTTAGAGAAAAAGGCAAAAGTGCACTCAGCGCATGAATTCTATTTGTTGTCTTTGGCCTTGTTGTCTTCCTCATTTTGAGACCCAGCCAGTTGCGTGACTTTTTTTTTGTTAGGATTTAGTAGTTCCATGAAGTTGGTTTTCAGGCATGCTTCTCCATAGTGTAATGAAATGTGGTGGAATGAATGCCAGAAATGTTATTACCGAAACGAATATCTGGATTGTCATTTTACTCCATAATTCATATCAGATTGTAAGAACATTTAACCTTTTGTATGTCATGGTGGAGTATGTGTATATCATACATGTCTTAATACATATTTTCATAAGTATTGATAAGGGGTCATTCTTTTACTTGTCCCTTTAACAACATGTCCACTGATTTTGTTGTGTTGTACTTCAGATGCAACATTAACTTTTCAGTACAATCTTAACCCATAACTCTTCCTTTGTACATGTACTCCAGGATTGATAGGATCAAGAGCATGGACCTTCAAATTATTTCTATCACACCTTGATTTCATTCTTGTAATGGGCTATAATGGCAAAGCTTAAGATAACTTAAAGTATCATGGGCAAACTTGACTAAACACCACAATTGTAAATGGTTTCCAAGGAAAGAAGTGTCTCAAATTTTTAAACCACTCAAAAAAAGATGTAACCTCTTCTGGCCCTGATAATCCAAAAGTGACATAGAACAAAGTGGCATATAATATTCTCATTCAAGAATTCCAGGAGAAACCAGTGTTTCCTCTTTGGGAGAATGCAGGGGAATAGGGGAAGGAGGATGATCAAAAGGAGTTATATGTTCAGATGTGCCTTTAAAGAAGGGAGGGACGGAGCGAGTTTCAGAGAATGGGGACAGAATGGCAGAAAGCCTGCCCCACTGATGGTGGCATTGATAGGGTTTGGGGTATATGAAGCAGGCCGGTCAGTGCTTGCTATCAGATACTATTTGATAAAATGTTTCTCAGTTGCTAAACCTCCATACATTTCAGAGGAGTTTTTAAATATTACACTTCCCATCTTCATTAAAAGAAAATTGAAGACACTTTGTTTTTCATGCCAGTTGAATATCTACAATGCCAAGCATAACATATAACATATCCACATTTGGATTTCCTCATTGAGTAATTCTTCAGAGGAAGGGCTACCAATGTTGATTGTTTATGTGGAGAGTTCCAATTAACAAATTAAAAGTGTAGAAATGTTTAGAAATTGCACATTAATTGGAAAGTAACACTGTAATGTAACTGATTGTATTGGAAATAAGATTTCCTTGAGGTAATAACTATGTGATGAGCTTACATATGTAATTGTTTCCCTTGATAGACCCTGCCAGCTGCATTGCGAGCCCTAAAAGGTCGCATAGCCCGTCAATGTCTCACACAAGAGTTAAGTCTTCATGTTCAACAAAATCGAGCGATCCTGGATCACCAGCAGTTTGACTACATAGTCAGAATGATGAACTGTGCATTGCAGGTAACATATGCTTTGCTTTCAATTATAATAATTATTATAAAATTATCGTTGTATTGTGGCAAAGTATTCTGCCATTTATAGTTTAAAAGATTTTTTTGAAAATGAAAATTAAATTGTGTCAATCAGTGCTTTATCAAGGTTGTAATATAGAACAAGAATACTTGTATAAAATGTGTTTGTCTTTTCAAGCTAAATATTCATGGTTATTCAGGGAATATCTATAAAATTATCTTCAGATTACATTGTTTTGTATTTTACTACTCAGTACAGCCTAAATTTTGTCAGTATTTATTTTAAATGATATTTATATACTATAAATACCATGTGGGATTTATAGATATGTGCAGTTGGACATTAGGAAAACAAATCTATTTATGAATTAAAAATAAAACAACTGAATCTAAATTCTGAAAATGCAGGTTAATCAACATCTGAAAGAATGGTTATTTCAGTCATGTTTTGGCTTTGATGGAACTTTTCTGATCAAAGATCTTAGGGGAAACATCAACTTCTTTTTTTATTATTGACCTACTGCAAATTTGCAGTATTATTTTTGGGCATTATCCTGCCTTATTTGAACACATTGACTTGTGTTTATGGCTGCTGTGAGAGGTAATGAAAATAGAACGATTTGTAAGGACAATGTTTATGTGTGAGTTATACTTAGGAGAGTTGTGAACTAATATTAACACCAATGTTTTGAACAAGTATGTCCTGCATTTCTGTAAGAATATTTGGTCTCCAGCGTATGTGGGTAATTGGTATCAAAATGTGTTGTGGATATTCTTATTATTGGTTTGAAATGATGTCTTATGTGAAGACACACTAGTTTCTTTAGAACAAATAAATTGCTGATCAGGGAAACCCAGGGGGAAAGTTTTAAAATAAAAACAGGGGTAAAGTAAGGGGAAGTTAAAAACAAAGGATCCAAATCTTACCATAGAATTGTCCATGAATGCATGATGTCAGGGATAGATGCATAACTGCAATTAAGTTTTATCCCACAAAAGCTCAACTGAAATGCAAGGAACATCAGTTTTTCATTGCAGACTCGCGCTACAAATCAATTTGATCCAAAGTCAGTTGCACTGTTTCCAATTAAAACTGTGTTAAATACAGAATAATGTTTTCGATAACATCACAGTCACACATAAACCTGTATCTTCTAATGTGGAGTAATGGAATGAATCATTTAGGTTGTCTCATGATGTCTTAAAAACACTTTTGATCACCCAAAGCATCACTAGCTTCTTCATTTTCATGAACTCTAACAAACAGTGGTGTTGTTGTTGCTGTTGATGTTGCCAGCAGCAGTCTGTTGAGCAGCAATCAAGTTGTGGGTAATTTCCAGTGTCCCGTCTACGAAAGAATTTTTAGAAAACCTAGTGATGATGCATAAGCCTTTGTGCCAGATTTTTATTTTTTATCCAAACATGTGGGGAAGTTTACATTTTTCAGAGCAAACTTTCAGCTATTCCAATATGATTTTGAGTAGTGCTGAGATTTCTGGGTTTGAGCCATGAATGTTTTAACCATTAGCCTGCACAGTACAGAAAGGTGCGTCAGAGCACTCTGGGAAAACACAAAAAATATCAACTTCACTTGAAATTCCTGTGGATCCACGTTTCTACCTGCTGCATACAGTGCAAAAAGAGCAAAATGTAAGCTCGTCAACTAGCGTTGCTCGTGCAAAGAAAATCTTTCCTTTCCCCCCCATCCAATGCAGAAGAGTGCCACTTCCAAGAAAATCTATTAATGATATTGTACAGCATTAACTGCTGAATTCCTCTTATTACCCAAAAAAAATTCTTTATGAAATTGCTGTTGACTAGATCCTGAACACAATTCTGCTTCTGGCAGCACTCAGCATAACCTACTGTTCTGGATCGGCTAAATCTAATCAAAATATTTATGAACAATGTCATGGCATGTCGTGGTCATTTTCTGAAATCTGTTAAGTTTCATTTTTCAATATGTAACGCCTGATGGTATTGCGAATGTTTGTAAAGTCTAGAAATTAATTTTAACATAAATTTTAAAGCCTGGCTTCGTTGGTTACACTCTCGCTTCTGAGTCAGAACTTTTAACTCGATGACTAGACTCAAGTGCAGTGCTGGGAGTGTGCTGCATTGTTGGATAATAATAATAATAATCCGTGAATTTGATATAGTGCTTTTCACGTCTTCTAGACATCTCAAAACGCTTCACAGGATATACTGTAAAGTGAATTGACTATATATTTGTGGGCAAATGTGCCGTCCTTTGCAACAGATGCGACAATGAGGCCCCCTCTGCCATGAAAGGGGGACATTAAAGCTCCCTTGACACTATTTGAAAATAGAATGGAGTTTCTCCCAGTGTCCTAGCCAACAATCTGCCAAATAAAAATTGGTCATTTACTCCATGGCTGCTTGTGGGACATTGCTGTGTGTAAATTGGCTGTAACGTTCAACTACAAAATACACTGGCAATATATCCTGTACAATATATCCTATGATGTGCTTTGAGACATCCTCCTGAAGCGTATCAAATATAAAGATGGTTAGGCATTTTCTAAAAAAAATTAACTCAACCATTTGATGGCTGCTATTAAAATCTCTGAAGATCTTACTGCTAGTTGATTCGTACTAGATGATAGGATGCAATAAGAGGGAGTATACGCTTCCAGAATCAAGTTATGCTTTGATAATATCTTTATGCTCAGGAAAGTCTGTTCTAACTCGGTTGGGAATTTTTTTTATGTGTGCTGCAGCTGTTTTCTGGCTCCAGTTTGTGTGGATTTGACTTGCTTTCTTTGAACTAATGAGGTAGCTTGGTTTGTGGCACGTAATATTGGCCTGGTTTGTGTTCTCACCAGAAGTCTCCAGCTCTCCTGATCTGCTTATGTGAGAAACAACAAGTACACTGATAAATGCTCACAATGATTCTGAAATCTCAGATAAGTGCACATCCCTGTGAGGTCAGCTCCTGTAAATAATGATGTGTGATCAAGTCTATAATTTCATCTCTTGTAGTACACCCTTTGAGAATAGCTGCAGTAATTTTTAATCATATTTCAAATACTTGTAATTTTTTTTAACAGAAAAGCTAAATCATTTTGAAGCTCAAAAGAATGGAGACAGTTTACCATAGTGCCATTACAAATTAATGCCAGTTTGGATTTGTACCGTTATGCACAGATGTAAGTTCTGTCTTTCCCTTCATTGTTCGATGAAGGCAAAATTCCTCGTCAGCAGAAATATACGTTGAGAAGATGATTTAATCGAGCCACAATGATGCATTTTAATTTATGCCAGTTCCCAAGAAGAGAGCACAATTATATTTCTGTTGGCACCATGTGGCAGTCAGCCGGGTTGAGATAAATACTTGACTTGCAAAGTTCCAGCTGTGTGACTTTGTTAAATATAGGACATAATGAAATATTAACCTTTCCAGAGAAAATATTCAGAGGAATACAAAGACTTGGCTACCTGCATCAGTCTTCCACCCCACCCCCTGATGACTACTGTAATAGGTATTTTGCTTTTAAATCCTTTTGTTCAATAATTGCACTATGCATTTTCATTTTCTTTTCTTTCAATTCCTTTCTTATCTCCTACAGTTAGTTGAAGGTATAACAAATGTTTTCATGCACGAACATTTTATCCTCCAGAACTGGCAATTTATCCTTTCTAGAGTATTCTGCTTTTCTTCTCTCCAGCAGTTGAACTGCAAATTCTCACTGGATTGAAAGGTTGGATTATCAATCCCATTTTGTTTTCCAAGTGAATAAGAATGAAACAAAAATTTGTGTCTTGGGGCTGTTCTAAAATTGCTGCATTCTAATGAAGAAGTATATTCGGTAATGAAAACTGTGCTGAACTTTAACTCAAAATCCTGCTCATAATCTACTACTGATACTAAACAGATTAGGTGATGAAAGCTCCAAGTCTTAACGCCAAAACTTATTGCAAAATCATGGACTTTGAAACTCCAACATTTGAGTTTTACACATCATGCAATCAGTGGCAGTTTTGTGTTGAGTCTGACCAGAGAAAACTCATTCCACAACCAATAGTTGTGAATGACACGGAACTTACAGCACGGTAATAGACCCTTCGGCCCAACTCGTTGATGTTTATACCTCACCCACCCCTCCTAGTCCCCTCTCCCATACCCCTCTATTCCCTTCTCCCTCACCGATGATTCAAATTGTTGCTTAAATACTTTGATGCTTTTTTGCTTCATCCATAGCTTCCCACAGTGAGCCACCACCACCCTCCATGTAAAGAATTTTACCTAAACTTCCTTTTAGTACTGATACAGTTATTTTATGCTTGTGTTCCCTTCCCTTCTCAGCATGTTTTCCAAATATGGAACATGAATTTTTGTTTGTCCCCTAAGAACAACAACAAGATTACATTTGTATAGCGCCTTTCACGTCTATTTTATTTTCCTAAGGCTTGTTAAATGAACAACATGTTGTACTTTGACATTGTTTTCATATTATCTATTTACCATTTCAGTGGATTGATCTAAAAGTCAACATTGGTTATAAGATATCTGGTTCATTTAAGACCTAGAAGAATATATTTAGGATGTCTTCTGCTTAAATATGATTTTAAGGCACTTAGGCCCTTAGCCCAGTGAAAGGCACTTAAGACCATAGCCCATGTGTTAATGTTTATATATTGCCTTAATAAATTCAAATTCTATTTTATATCAATTTTCCCGTAACCAAAGCCAATTCCATTCCCAGCAGTGTGACTTACTGACATGAGATCATTGAAATGTCACTTAAGATCAATATATTTAAAAATTTCAGTGTAAGATTGTTTTGAGACTTTCTTCCACCTCTCAACTTTGTTTCAAAATAGTTTTGTAAAGGCTGCACACCAGTGTTGAAGGGTGTACATTTTTCGACATTTCCTGTTTAACTAGTTTTATGAGGCACGCTTTTGTTGCAATGCTCGATCATTGCAAGGAACCTCAGTCTCTGAGTTAAGAAACAAATCAATTAGACGCTTGATCTAGCGGCCTGAAAATCTCTCATATTCTTAGCCTTACGAATATTGGCTGAAAATGCAAGATTGGAATTTTGTTTCATTTAGAAGTCTTTTTGTGTTGCTTTTTAAGAACTTGTCAGGGTGGCTTCTTGAGGTATCTCAATGCCTTTAAAAGAAAGTAACCGTTTGCTTTCGTTCTGGCTTTACAAGCAAAGTAGGCAGATGTCAGAAATAACATCCGAGTGCACACGATGTATCATCAATTTATGGTGCCACCATTCTATGTTATATGTATTTTTATATTTAACCAAATGTTGTAGTACCGATGTGATAAAACAACAGGACAGGACATTATTAAAGTTTATATTTAAAGTGACACTTGCCAGTGGAATTTTTCCTTTGGAGTTTCCAGCAGAATTCCCTAGAAACATTTCGGAGAATTGTGAACAGCTCAATGAGAAAAAGACTACAAGTCTTTACAGTTCAAAGCTTATTCGAGAAAACCTTTTGGGAATTGTGTAAGAATAGACACGATTTGTGAGAAAATGGGTCAAGGAGTTTGCAAAAACTGTATTGTGCTGAATGAAATTTGCCAATGAGTTCATTTGTGTGGCTAATTCTTGAAACCAAGTGTTTGCAGACAGATGAAAATAAACTTCCAGTCAAATAGAAGAGATTATTTATGGGAGAATTGGAGTGGGGTGAGGGGAGAGAAGAATTTTTGAAAAATCTTGTGTTTGCCATAATAAAAGAAGCATCTTAGTTTGCATGTGAATGTTAACCATAGGAACAGTCAGTAGCATTCTTATTGTAGATAATAATATTAGTAAGATCTGAATATTGTTCTGAGCAATTCTAAAAATGCTGTTGTTCAATATAGGATTGAAGGATTGCAATATACTATATGTTCAGTTCTTTAAGATCAATGGTAATTCATTATGCAAAGTTCTTTGAGACTTTAATGTGATAAAGCACTACATCAAATGCAATTATTGCTATTTGTTTTGGTCAGACACCTCAGCTTATCAGGTTATGTGAGATTTATTGGTCAGCTGGGTGTCTAACACATGCAGAAAACCATAACCATGCATTATGGTATCTAAACCAAACTGAGAATTCCATGCATCCCACTTATACATGGAAATTCCAGAGATAAATTGTTGGAATGGATTGTGTACTCTCCCTGGAGGGACACATCCTGCTTACCTTATTCCGGAGAGTATTTGGCACAGGTTAACAAGAACCAAGACTTGGGGACCCCAGGGTATACGTTAGTGTACTGCTGGAGTCCAACCAGCTAAATCACATAGCCTGCCATTGATACCACTGTCTGACAACTTTTCCCACCGCTTGTCCAGCTCGGACCACCCTACCCATTAGGGCTTTAGCTTGCAGGTTAACAGGAGCTGAGTGGGAGGATTTCTTGCCCCCAGTAACTGGTCTGCCCTTCCAAGTCCTGCCAACGAGCCAGGCTGTGAAATACTATGGTCATTTATGTAACTTGACACCCAAGTGATTTTTCAAACAACCGGTGGTGCATGTAAATCAAATAGAATATTTATTTTGTAGCATTAAGATCTTAACTAGATTGGAAAGATAACAATCTTGTATTGATAAAAGGAAAAACTCTGAATGCTGCAAAATGTGTACACAGCTTTTCAATCGGCATCTGAACAAGACAAGAGTATATTTGTCTTTAGCCTCTTTATTATAACAATTTAATAAATCCTGTAAAGGATCAGTCAGCAATTTGACACATACCAACTACTAACTTTTAAATTTACTGGTTGGGTGAATGTGTTTTGCTCTGTAAGTCAACAGTTTGCATTTACATAACGCATGCTGCAGTTATACAGCAGACTTATCAGAGATTCATTAACATTTCCCTTTCTACATTGCAAGTGCTGTAGTACAACTGCATTCTGACTACAACTATTGCAAAACAAACTTTTGACCTTAAACATTTAAGCATAAAAGTTCATGAATAGTTCAATTGACTGACCTTCAGGTATTTTAGCATTATTAAAGAGTTGGCGTGACTCCCAGTTTTAAATAATGTTATAAATTAACCAGGATTCAATACTGGTTAGCAGAGTTGTTTGCATGTCTGCTTTATTTGGATTAAGTCCAGAGGGAGAGCAATGCGGAGCCAGCAGTAAAGCTGCAATTTGCTGACTTACATTGCCTTGGTATATTAACTGCATGAAATCAATGCCCATGATATAAATGCAATATTAACAATAAAACTTCAAAGAGCTATTGATTAAGAGACTTTCAGTGCAATTTAACAGATGCTCTGTATTTTTGTAATATAAAGGATGTGCAATTTAAATAACATTTTATATTGCAAAGCAGCTTCTATCTTAAGAATAGCTACTTTTAAATATATAATTACTGTCTGCTTTGATCTGCTCAACTACATCAATGAAACCAAACTAAAATCTGATTATGAGAAGGAGAAATCCGTAACTTGCCATGTTCTGATTGTTGGTTGGGAATGAATTCATGAATCCACCTCCCGCTTGGATTATCCCACCAGTCTCCCCAGCTCCACCATTCGCAAGATCCAGCTCATTCAAAACTCTGCTGCCCACATACTGACCCAAACCAAACTCCGTACCCACATCTCACCAGTTCTGGCTCCACTGGTTCCCCATCACCGAACGGATCGACTTCAAGATCCTCACTCTCGTGTTCAAATTCATTCACTCCCTGGCACCTCCCTACCTCTCTGACCTCCTCACTCCCCAATCCACCACCCTTCGCATTCGCTCGACTGGCATCAGCTTCCTGCTCGTCCCTCGCACCCTCCGCCCCACCAACGGAGTTCGCACTTTCAGCCACTATGCCCCGAAACTCTGGGACACTCTTCCTTAATCCCTCCAACTTGTCCCCTCTCTCCCCTCTTTCAAGTCCCGTCTGAAAACTTCCCTGTTCGACCGTCATTACGGCCATCTATCCCCTCCCCCCCAGCTTGGAGTCAGGCTCCACCAGTGTTAAGCACTCTGAGACACTACCTTGCGTGGATGGCCTATATAAGTGCAAATTGTTGTTGGTGTTGAGTTACTGAACTCTTAAGCAGAGTTATAGGTATCACACTATAAAATAATAATAATAATCCTTGCATTTGATATAACGTTTTTCACATCTTCTAGACGTCTCAAAGTATATAGAATATACTGTAAAGTGAATTGATTGTATATTTGTGGGCAAAATGCGACAGCCACAAACAGTTGTGGATTATTATTGTTTTTTTTGAGGGATTATAATCCCCAGAAAAGCAATCTGCCAATCAATTTACAACTGGGTCCTACGTACTGCTGGGTAAGCAGAGGAGTGGAGTAAGGAAATTTGCCCAACATTTCACCCTGCCGGGAATAAAACCCAGGTCTCTTGCTTGCAAGGCAAGTGCTCTAACCACTGAGCTACAGGACTCCAATTAAACGATACTTAAGTGGCTTGTAAGTGGTGTTCAAAACTCAAGAGCATTCTGCAATCTTGATCACACTTCCAGCAGTTATTTTTAATTATTTTATAATGTGTGTTTTGATTTTTCCAGTCAGGTTTTGTCATTGAATTTCAGGTCTTCTGCCAAGTGAGATTTGGCATGCAGTTTTTGTGTACAATTTGTTTCAAACAAGATTATGATGTTAGACTATGTTCTAATGGTGTTGGCCGACAGTATCAATAGATTTTACTAAAATTTGCCAACCATGAAAAAACATTCATTTGATATTAAATGTTTTCTTAAAACATTTTCTTCCATTCGTCTTATCTGTCCTTATGTGAAGGAATATTGGTTTATGATTCTATAGTCTTTCGTGCCTCATGGAAATGCCCATTTTTTAATCTAACACGTGACATCTAAATTCAGTGAGCAGTTCATCCACGGAAACATCTTAGGTCATTGGTCTTTGTGATAATTGCACATTCAGTATAACTCCCCCCCATGTAACATACAGTATATGCACAATTTCCAATTTCAGTAATCATTTGCAAAGCAAAAGTACTGTCTTTTTTAAAATATAAAAATAGTTAATTGGCACATAAATTGTTGATTATCAACAAAACAAGTCAAATTATTGTGGAATTCTCTTGAGTGTTTCACGTCAATGTGATGGCCTGCTCGTGAAATTTTGTTTAAGTAGTACATTTAATTAAATAATGCCCTTGCAGTGTTCAAAAAGTGCTTGGGAACATTAAAAAGCAGCTGTTGTAGTTTAAAATTTGGACACAGTCTACAAGAATGGAGCCCTGCTGTGGCCTAAAAGTCAAAGTGCATCTTGGCATTCCAAACATTTCCTCAGTCAAAGATTACAACCTGATTTTTGTGAACTTTATAGCTGTGGGCCTCATGACGGGATTCAAAAACATCCACGGCATTTGGTTAAAATAACTCCGATGTGTTGAGCCGTTTTGGATGAACTGTTGGTCTTGATTAATGTCTCCAAAACTAATGTTAATACTCTTGGGTGGAATAATCTTGATTAAAATTAAATTTTTTGTGGAGGAGTTGCAGTGATGTATATATTCACCTTTTTGGGGAGGGTTTTTCCTCACAGTTTACCGCAAATTCCTTTCCATGTTACTCAATCAAAACTGAACTTGTGTGTCCCACTAGTCCACTAAAAATTAAGTGATGGATCCCTGAAGATTGCCTCCAGTAAATTGTTGTTAGTGGGCACTAAACTTATTGTGTTCTGCCTCTACCTCAAACTGCTTCAAACAGGTGGGTGGTTTTGAGTCTAGATAAGTTGAGTACAAAAGTAGAATGTGATGCCTCAAGATTCACAGTTTCCTGTTAATTTCTTCTAGGATTGTTCAGCTTCAGAAGAATACAGTGTTGCAGCCGCATTGCTACCACTGACAACAGCATTTTACAGGGTAAGTCCCATCAATTATGCGCTGAATTCTCCTGATCATTCGTGCCCTTTCTCCCTTTTTGGCCTAACCCCAAGTTCTTCATGTCCCACCCCCACCCCTGAAAAAAAAAGGTTTGTGTGCACAGGCAATTATGAGTCAACCTCTCACCGTGAAAGGTGCTATAAATATGTAAATTATGTTTGATTACATTCATTTGCCATTACTTTTGCCACCCAGCCTGAATATATTTTGTGCAATTTGCACATCTCAATTCTATCAACTGGAGTCACAAAAGGCTATTGGAATATAATTGAGAGTTAAACCATTCAGGGTTGAGTGCATCCTGAAGCTTTCAAAATGAGTTTCTTCTTCAAAGCATTGTAAATTCAAAATAGCACTGTCAAATTTTAATATTGATTGTTACTTTTAATTGTTTAATAAGTCTTGTATTCATTTGAAGAAACAGAATTTTCTGTTTTACTTGTGGTGAATAAGTCATTGTTTTATTACTATCTGTCCTCTTATATAATGTGGGTCTGTATAACACAGAGCACAGAGAACTCACAGTATACCAGAAGTGCAGTGCAGTACTGACTGGCTGGTTTCCAGCACACAGATACAAAAGCAGCAGCCTAGCAACTGCTGGAAATGCTCACAAGAGTGGTGGCAGCTGACTGCATGTGCAGTGTGCTTTAAAGATCATAGTTGGGCCCTTGCAATCCAAAAGTGTTGATCAAGGGTCATTTTTTAACATGGCTTGTTATAAAGCAGGTTCTGATGCTATGGACCTCCTAAAACCATGTTATTATTGTGCCCGTCTGTATTAAATTGCGGACTGACATCTGCTGTTACCGTACTGTATGTTACTGATATCTGCTTTCAGTAGCTGGTATACTGTGGTGAATGTAGTTTATAATTTGCATGGATAATGGAGCTAACAATATTGAAGGCTGGTTAAATATGAAGCTTATTTTTCCAGTTGCTGCCTCTAAATGAATGCTCACAGAATTGTTGTGTCCTTTGACTTCTGAGGTGTTAGTCATCGCTGTGCAGTTCTGTTGTTCCCTTCATGCAGCATCACCTGTGGGCTCATTCACATCCAACAGACTGGTTTGATTCAAGGCCAGAGTACAGTCTGGAGAGGAATCAACAGCAGTTGAAATAGGCACTTGCCATTTTGCATTTTTGTTAACTACAAGATGATCATGGGACTTGATCATTCCATCTCAGAAACCTGAAGCTTTTTGCTTGCCAGGCATTTGGTCTCTGATTAGGAGAAGACCCAAAAGTCTATTTATTCTAAGCCAATTGGTTGGGGCTGCCTCCCTGGTCATGAACAGCTCTCCCAGAATTAGTGACTTCCTTGTGTTTTTCTAGAATGGTACTAGGAATGGAAACTATCATAGAAATAACTGAAATGGCATGATACATTTTGGATAGACTGGATGATGAGCACCTCAATTCGCATTATTAGCATGAGGGACCGGCTTCAGAACAATGCATTTTCCCTTCAAGACCCTGAGCCAGGCTTTGTTTTTATTAAGAGTACATAGAATTGTGTGGGAATTATCCCATGATTCTTATAAAACTTGTTCTGCTGGAGTTAACCACACAATAAAACTGAAATGGACTCTTGTCAGAAGTATGGAGAAAACATATGCCCATTTATTTTGCATTTTTTAAAAATAATTATTATGTTTTGTCAGTGATGGCTTGAACATGTGAATAAGATATATATCCAGAGGCAAGTGTGCTCTATAAAATGAAGGTACTGCAACTGTAAATGTATGGAACGATGTTTAGTCATAGCAACGGTAATCAACCGTACATTAAACTCTGCAGTTGGAAAGTATATTGACAGGATGTAATTCTGTTTAAGATGGAATGTGTTGGCAGAAGTACCGCATATCTACAAATTATAGACAGCAAATCATCATGAAGTTTATTTTGAAAGGATAAGAGAACATCTTGATTCATTTTTAGTGAAGAAAACAAGCATTTTGATACTTTTTGTTTGTGTAATGCAGAAGATTGTTTTGAGAGGAATTCAGCGGAACATTGTAATTTGACTTTGAAGCAAGATTAATACTTTCCTATTACCATCACACTGTGCAAATTAACCCTCTCCAGCCAAGGTTAAACAATATTTTAACGCTGGATTTAGTGACCTTGAGGGAATTTTTTATTTAAATTGAGGCATGTGTTCAGATTATCAGGAATATGAATCTGGAATTCTTTTGAAACATAAGTAACTCATTAACTTTGTTTATTTACTTAAAAAATTCAAGCACTGTAGACATCCCCTGTCCCCATCAGACATTTGGTGCTTGAGAATATATCTGAAGTGAAATGGTTCTTTGAACAATGAACCTAATAGGCAAACGTACAATAAATATAGCTGTGTAACAAATGCTGTTCTGAAAATTTTAAATGTACTCATTATTGGTATCTGAGAAATAGTACGAGTTTTTGAAAAGAAAAAGTTTAAGGGATAGCTCTTTCAAAGAGTTGGCACAGACACGATGGGGCGAATGGCTTCCTTCTGTGCTGTAACGTTTCTATGGTTCTACAATGCTGAATGAGGTTTCTTATACAAATCTTAAGTATTTACTGCAATTAACATACGATTTGACTCCTGGTGTAAATTGTATATAAAGCATTTATTTACTATTGCACTGCCTTCAGCTATTTAGCCAACCTTTCCCTGCACTTTCAGACAAAAATGAATAATGTACAGTTTCCTGGCATGGTTAAAACTATATCAAAAGCCTTTACACCAACTTGCAATTTTGTCTTACTGATCATTGCCACAAACGTGCCTTATATTAGTTGCTGTCTCTTGATCTTTCTCTTCAAGATCCAGATCTTAACTCTTAACTTTACATTGTGAGGAAGTACTTCATTGTCATGTTTTTGGTGCTGCAGCTTCTGCAAATGCTTGAATTTATAATAATAATCCTTGCATTTGATATAGCGCTTTTCATGTCTTCTCGACATCTCAAAGTGCTTCACAGAATAGACTGTACAGTGAATTGACTGTATATTTGTGGGCAAAACCTGGAAATATGTCTGCCTGACTCAGTTGGTAGCATTATTACCTCTGAATCAGAAGATTGTGGGTTCAAGTGCCACATTGGAACTTTAAGGTTATAGTCTGATATTTGAATGCAGTGTTAGGGATTGTGCTGTGCTGCATTAGATGCAGGTTCTGTAGGTACTGTCCTTCAGATGCAATGTTAAACTGAGGATGTATCTGGCTGTTCTGGTGGACACTTAAAATCAAATGGCACTACTTGATAAAGGAAGGGTGTTTCTCTCAGTGTCTTGGCCAACAAATGGTCATCCACTGCAAGGCCGTTTGAGGGAGGTTGTGCACAAATTGGATGCCACATACACTTATATATATAGAATCACTACATTTTGTTTAAGATGGAATGTGTTGGCAGAAGTACCGCATATCTACAAAATATAGACAGCAAATCAAGAAAACAAGCATTTTGATACTTTTTGTTTGTGTGATGCAGAAGATTGTTTTGAGGGGAATTCAGCGGAACATTGTAATTTGACTTTGAAGCAAGATTAATACTTTCCTATTACCATCACACTGAGCAAATTAACCCTCTCCAGCCAAGGTTAAACAAGGTTTTAACACTGGATTTAGGAGACTTCCCATTCCACAAGGAATCTGGTTAGACCTCTTGTGAAAATGCTTTGTATTAGATGCGGGCTATATGGTCTATTCCTTCAATTGCGAGAAAACTGACAGCCAAACATTGCTGTTAATATGTGAAATCGCATCCTGGCATTTAGCAAGCTGTAGAAGATCAATGCAAAGAGGCCAGAAAGAATTGAATGTGGTTTGCTGCTGGTGGTGGTGGTGGTGTTGTTGCTGGGTGTTTATGTAATTTTGATGAAAGGACAGGCCATCAAGTTTGAACTTTCCTGCTCTAAATCAAAAGGATTCTTTTAATTGCTATAGATTAACTCATTATTTACTTTGTTTTAATCTGACTTCATCTTTAATCAAGTATTTTGAAAGAAAAGTACGACGATTATAGAGGAAGATCTCAATCACTGAAATATATCTAGTGAATGGAATGGATTGTTTGAATGGTTGGGATGATGGAAGCCAAACACAAGGATAACATGCACGGGTTAAAATTTTAAATGCTAAAGATTTCACCTGGTAGAGGTCTTGGATTTCTGCCTCTGGGCTGATTAGCTTTCACATTTTCAGCATGAAAACATTCAACTATACTGCTAATAAAGCTAGTTTAATATCAGGAATGCTTTTATTACTATAATATTAACATTAACCATGACATGAGAACAAGTTTCATTTATTCGCTAGCTTCATGTGGGTAGCATCTCAAGAGAGCTTAAATTATTAACAGTAGCATACTAAAATAAATACAGACCCATTTTAAAAGGCGAGTGCCATGTTATCCCTTTTTATTTGTTCTCTCTTCTTTCTTATTTTCTCTTGTGTTTTAACTTGTGTTTGTCCAGCAGTTTTTATAGTAACTAGCTAATGACAAAAGAAAACCCAACAATTTTGTTTAATTGGTAATAAACATAATTTCACATAGCTACAAGTGAAATGTCATGCATCTCACTAGAATAGTCAAAAATGATTAAATTTATTGGGTGTTATGAAGTTAAGTTATTATAAACAGGTTTGCAAGCTATTGAAACATTTTAAAATTTGATGGAAAACAGAAGTGCCATTTAAGCACCATTGACTGTCATTTTCATAAAAAATTCAAGCCCCATTCATGAGGGAACGGAATGATAAATTATTTCTTGAAGGTGAATGCTTTTTATTTGTGAATTATTCTTCCCATAATAATGAATTTCATGGTAATCTTTTACATGTATCTGTTTTGTGAACTAATGTCCAAATTATAATATGTTGCACGGTTAGGGAAACTCTGAAAATAAACACTGCTGGAGAAGGAAGAATGATCAGTTATTGACTGTGAGTACCAGCTGACACTTATAGAGGCCAAAATAGAATAGGA